TGCATCTTGGCAGAGGGCCGAGGATCGTTCTCCGCCTTGCCTGTTGATGTAGAACATTGAGGCTGTGTTGTCTGTGAGGACTCTGACCACTTTACCCAACAGGTGAGGTAGGAAGACTTGCGCATGCACTGTGCACCACCCTGAGCTCTTTGACATTTATGTGTAGCGTCGATTCCCCTGGGGACCACATACCTTGGTTTGGAGGGTGCCGAGGTGCGCCCCCCAGCTGAGGTCTGAGGCATCCGAAACCAACTCAACTGAGTGAGGAGTGCTGATGAAGGAAACACCTTCCAGGATTTTCCCGGGGTCGGCCCACCATCGCAGCAAGGTAAGTACCATTGCAGGGATGGTAACCACCTTCTCAAGGTGGTCCCTGGACTGGGAGTAGACCGTTGCCAGCCATTGCTTCAGGCATCACATATGTACACGCTGCCATGTGACCTAGTAGGTGCAGGCAAACTTGGACGTCAGGGGAAATGCGGAGACTTCCGTGATAAGGTCAATCAGTCTCCTGAATCTCTCCAGTGGCAGGGATGCTCTGGCAGAGGTTGAGTCGAGCACCGCCCCGATGAAGTCTATCCTCTGTACTGGAACCAACGTGGATTTTTTGTCGTTCACCAACAGGCCGAGGCAAAGGTACATGGCCAGTAGCACCACAACATCCCCTTGGACCTGAAGTTGCCCTTGACAAGCCAGTCGTCAGGGACAGGTATATCTGGATACCCCCGACATCTGAGGTAAGCCACCACCATCCATGTGCACTTGGTAAATACCCGCGGTGCTGTCAGTAGGCCAAATGGAAGGACCGTGAACTGATGGTGGTTGAGACCTACTGTGAACCAGAGGAAGCATCTGCGTCCCTCGAAGATGGCAATGTGAAAGTACACATCTTTCAGACCGAGGGCGGCATACCAGTCTCCCAGATCCAGGGAGGGGATGATGGAGGCCAGGGAGACCATGCGTAACTTCATTTTCACTAAGGAGCAGTTCAAGCCCCATAGGTCTACTATGGGCCGCAGTCCACCCTTGGCTTTGGGGATTAAAAAGTATCGGGACTAGAATCCCTTGTTCTGTACTCCACAGGAACTACCTCCACTGCACCCAGCTGCAGTAGACCCTCTACCTCCTGCGTGAAAAGGTTCTCATGAGAAGGGTCCCTGAAGAGGGATGGGGAGGTGGGTTGGGAAGGGGGGCAGGGGTAGAAAGTAACTGAAGAGTGTAACCCTGTGCCACCATATTGAGGACCCATCGGTTCGATGTTATAGACGCCCACACAGGGCGTAAGGAAGTAAGGTGATTGGTAAATAGAGGGGAGGAAGGATCTGGGGAACAGTCTGGTAGGTCACCCTCAGGTGTAACCTCAAAACAGGCGCTTGCCTGTCTGCTTACTGCAGGTTGAGCCCGACTAGGATGTAGATGGGGGTTGGTGGCCAGGGCGCCTCTTGTAGCCCCTGGATTTTTTGGTGGGGAAGCTCCTGGCAAGGGCAGCTCCCCTGGCTATGAGGTTGCTACAGCTTAAACTGCTTGCAGGAAGGGCCGGGGATGTACAGGCACAGTGTTTTCAGGATCGTGCGGGAATCTTTCAAGCCATGGAGTTTATTGTCCGTCTGTTCTGCGAACAGGGCCTGCCTGTCAAAAGGGAGGTATTGCATTGACTGCTGAGCCTCTGAGGAAAGACCAGAGAGGAGCAGCCAACCAGATGGTATGGGCAGTGGTGTCCACCGCGTCTGACGCTGCCTAGAGAGCTGCTCTGGCTGCAGTCAAGCTGTCATCCAGGATCGCCCGGAACTCCTTCCTAGAAGCCTCAGGAAGGGCGCTCTCCAACTTGGTCATGGCCTGCCACATATTAAAATCATAGCAGCCTAGTAGGGCCTGATGGTTGGCCACCGGCCACTGTTGACTGGAGGATGAATAAACTTTATGCCCACACAAGTCTAGTCTCCTTGAGTCTTCACTCTTAGGAGTAGCCCCAGATTGACCCTGTCTCTCCCTGTAGTTGACTGGCTCTACCACTAAGGAATTGGGAGCAGGATGGGTATAAACGAATTCATGACCCTTGAATGGCATGAAGTACTTGCGCTCTGCCCTCTTGGAGATTGGAGGCAAGGAGGAGGGGGTTTGCCAGAGGGTCTTTGTAATCTTTGCAACCCCCTTATGTAGGGGCAAAGCTACCCTGGCTGGGGCTACGGGGCAGAGAACATCAAAGAGGGAGTCCGCGGGCTCCTCTAACTCCTCCACCTGGAGGCCCAGCTTGGCAGTGACCCTCTAACAGCTCCTGATGTGCCTTAGCATCATCCTGGGGAACCAGTGGAGGGTTCTCCTGTCTGGCGATGACAAGGAGGAAGCCAGTACCAAGAGGTCCTCCACAAGCAGAGATGGTCCGGCGGCTTGCTCGCCCACTTCCTCCTGTGCCTGTGGGGTGCCTGCAGCTGGAGGGGGGCAGGAGAGGGAGGTAGCCCATCTCTCCAAAGCTCTGGATACTGAGCAGGAGGCCTGAGTGAATCCCCATTGGTTCCCTGGGTACCACTGTGCCAGCCACGGAGCCGGCTGTGGTGCTGTCAACGTAGGTATTGGAGCTTGTCCTGCAGCTAGGGATCCTCACACTGAACCTGATCTAGATGCCGAGTGGTAGCTCCCCTGTGACCAAGACTGGGCTGAGTAGTGGCTTTGTCCCACTCAGTACTGGCCACTCCTCCCGGAGTTGGATCTGGCTGACCTCGAAGAGTGCCTGGACCGGCGGATCCGCAATGGCCCCGGGCCAGCGATCTACGCCTCACGCTTAATGTGGAGTGGGACCGGGAACCAGAGCGGGCTTGGTGTCAAAGATGCAGCTGCATGCAGTGATGCCACCCTGGGGGATTGTCCCTTGACCTGTCCCTGGAGTGGTACCAGTGCTGTGGAGATTCTGGGCGCCAAGTCCGAAACTCCTGCTGCAGGGCACATGCCTCCAGATGTCTGCACCTGGTTATCGGCGAGCCACACCTCGAGCCTATCATTGTCAGACACATGTCGGCTGCAAGAGGGCGATCGTTGGCCAGACCTCCCCTGCAAAGGGAAGCGTTGCCATAGAGGTGGAGATTGTGGTGGACCAACCACAGGTTTACACCATGACCAGGGCCCCGCAGGGGCCAGAGTGGGCAGCACCAGGAGGGACAATCTCTCGTGCCACTTGGAGGGTCTCCAGCGTGGATGGTACCCGGGACCAGAGGCTCTGACAATATGTCCTGAATCAGAACGCCTTTGCCTGGTAGATTGATGGTCCCCATACTGGAAGCAGTAGTGGAGAACTCTCTTTCTGCGGCTCTTAAAAGTTTCTTTGCATACGAAGCACCTCTTGGCTTTCAGTTTGGCCTACTCTGCTCTGGTGGAGGAAAGGAGTGAAGAAATTGAGGAAAGAAGCTCAAAACTCAATTTGCAGTAAACAGGAATTTTGAGTGCACAGGGCTTAAGGATCAGACCCACAGTGGACTAATTTTTTATTTTAATTTTTTTCTACAATGGAAAGTCATTGCAAAATGAGATCCTCAACAAGCGATCTTTTTCCTTAAATAATTTTAGGCTCAGAACTTACTGGGACTTAAAGAGTGTTTCTTTAAATAAATTGCCATAACTTACATTCAAAATACTACACATGCTATGGACAACCTCCTCTTATAATTGGCTGGGGTTTTATGTTAATTGCCAACCAAGTATTTAAACAATTGACATAAACATTTCATTATTCTACACAGACTGAAACCTGCAAACATTGGTATTGATCCTCTTCTAGTGTACAAATAGACAGATTAATATTTTTTAAAATGTGGAGAGATTGATTTTTCCCACACTTGAATAATATTCTTATTTGCTATTTCATGCAAACTTAAATTAGCATTTGAGGGATTTAGGAGAACTCAGAATTGGTTGGAAGGCCTTAAGATTATTCTCTTTTTTAAATGTGAAAAATATGCATGTATTCTGCACAAAGAGTTAACTGACAAAAGTACTATCATCATCTTAAAAGCTTGTATTCCACTCAGTATGGCCAAACTTACTTCCTACTCTTATAGGAAGCAAGCCATGCCTAGTGTAGGTTGTGTGTGAGAAGTAACACACATTTAAGTGAAATTCTGGTTCCACTGAAGTCAATAGCAAAATTTCCATTGACATCACTGGGCTAGGATTTCATCTCAAGAATTTTGTGGAAGTTCAATATTCTAGAACAAAAGCATCCAACAGCCAATTTGATGTATATTTGTGGTCTAAATGGCATATTCAGATCCTGAAGAATCTGGGATTTTTTTTTAATCTTGTTTCTAAACAATTACAAAGATAACGTTGAAAATATGAACTAGAACCAGTGTCAAAGGGTGCATCTGAGTCTGCAGACAGCTTGAAACAATGAATTTAAAAGGTGAGAGTTCCCCCATTCCCAATTAATTTTTTGTACAGTTATCTCTATAGACATTTGAAATGTCAAGCTTAACTGCTTCACTGTTGATCATTTTAGTTGACAAAATGGGGAAGAGGAAGAGAATAAAGCCTGGAGGGAAGAACAGAGTTGTTGCAGAAAGTGAAATGCAGAGGGAATAAAAAAAAGAAGACAAAGAGAAACAGAGAAAAGATGGGGAAAGAAGAGAAACACAAGAAAGGAAGAGCATGGGTCGTAAAGGTGAAGTTAGTGTTGTCTGATTTAGTAGAAAAATTAAGGTATTGAATAAATAATAACGGAAAGTTTAGGTAATATATCATGACCATTTACCTCTGATCTTTGTACAAATCTCCCACTGACATCAGTGGGATCTGATCACTGTGGATTCCTAAATTTATAACCCAGCCAAGGGAAAAATGGATTTTGACCCTCTTCCTCCAATTAATTTGACACTCTGGTTCTAAAACATGTAAAGAAACAAACAAGTCCACAGAAGCAAAAAGAATTTAACATTGTTTTACCCCCTATCCCCTGCAATGGGCAAGAAAGGAATTTTTAACAGTAATAATAACATAAAAATAAACAGTTATACAAAAAGCAAGTATTTATTTATGAAGATTAGAAATAATGTACACATTAACTTTCACTTAGTGCTAAAATAATTTGATTTTTAAATTATTCCAACTGAGATTGCTATTACTCAGGGTTTGAAAATCCATCTGTCTCCAATAGGGTAACTGAAAATTATAAGTTTCATTTGATCTGTAATATTTGACCTGTTGTACACACAGACTAGTAACACTTTCTAGTCATTGTCTCTGGGGGTGAAAAAAAAACACACACCTTATTTTGCCAGTATGGTGCTCCCTCTGACAGAGGTACAGAGTACAGGGAAAATCTAGGTTTATATTGTCCTGGGAAATCACACAACAAATCATCAGTGTCAAAATGACAACAGTAACACGGTATTTAAGTGTTTAACATAGATAAATTATCCCATTTTGTTTTTCTCTGTGTGGCAGGAGGGGGAAAAAAAGAGCAGCCTTAACTTTTGCACAGCTTTATAGTTAGAGAAGGTAGCAAAATTTGAAGTATTAATGTCTCTGCTAGAAAGATTATGGCAGAAACTCTCCGGTTCCAAATGAATTCCATTACTCCTTTGAAAAAAAAAACAACTTTTTTCAGTGATGTGATATAGACCAGTTTGCCTCAATTTGCAAAAGCTATTAAGATAGTTTAGATGACACTGGTTAAAAAGTGACAAATTGAAACTTCAACATGCTACCAGTTTTATTCTAAAAAATGTGAACTATTCAAACTTGGGCCACTGATACAATGTGATTATTTAAATACAGTCTAACTGGTCTACTGAAAATGAAATACAATCTTTAGTAGGGATAAACAGAATTATTTTTAGTGTGTAAGTGAAGAGCTAGAAGCAGGTATTTTCAAAACATGGTAATCCTTTTAACTCCTTACACCTAACAGCCAACAGTTAATATGGGAAGGCCTCTATTACATGATAAATCTATCTTGATTTAAAAAAACAAACATCTTCTGGGCCATCCTCTGTATACTTTGGTTGAAATTTTTAAGATAAAGTGTAATTTCTGCAGCAGGTAACTTTAAAAATGAGGACACATAAAAGGAAATACATAAACATCTCATCTGAAATATAGGCATGTTTTTCCATCTTCTTCATGTAATCAGCATGCTTTACTTATGTCTCCCACTTTCCTGCTCCTTATTCAATTACATTTTCCATTGTAACTCGCAATTCTGCTGTACAGAATCCAGACACCTACATATCACACTTCCTGAGTCAGATTTATTCATCATTATCTGTAGAGAGGGGGAAAAAAAGACAAATTTAGCAGATTCAATAAAACTTAATAAGATAAATAGTTAAGTAAGCAACCATATATGATAAAAATTCTATTACAAAATAAGATTGAAATGAACTTTTTTTTTTTTAAACAGATTTCAAAACAGCACTGAAAGCACTATGCATACAAGCCTGTAAAGCAAAAAACATTACATCTTTACTGGACTAATAAACTTCTTAAGATTCTTGCATTCTATATGGCCTGTTCAACTTAAGCTGTTATCACAATGAAATCCTTTCACTAAGAAAGGAGAGATTACTCACCCTGTGTAGTAATTGGAGTTCTTCAAGATGTATGTCCCTATGGGTATTGCACTTCAAATGTGCACATGCCCTTGCACCTTTGATAGGAAATTTTTGGTAGTAGTGCCCATTAAGCCAACCCATGTGCCCTTCACATCCTTGTGCCCCCAAACCAAGGATATGCAGTGTTGCATGGGCAAACCGGCCTCAGTTCCTTCTCTATCACAAAGCTCCACTAGGGATGATATGAATCAAAGGGGAAGGAGGAGGGGTAGTGGACCACCACTTGGCGGACACATCTTGAAGAACTTTAGTTATTGCACAAGGTAAGTAATTGCTCCTTCTTCTATTACATCCCTATGGGTGCTCCACTTCAGGTGACTCCAGTACAGTACCTCCCTAAGGAACTCTGCCCCAAAGCTCTCTCCTCATGTCCAGGTTTCAGCCCTGCAGATTTCAGCAACTGGGACATATTTGAGAAGCTACGGATGTAGACTGTCATCTTGTAGAATGAGCTATCACTCTAGGGGAAGGTTGAGCATCAGCCAACTCATACCAGGTAATATAAATATAACCAGAGATCCATATTGAGAGCCTCTGCATGGAGACTGGGGATCACTGAAATCTGTCTGCAATTGACACAAAAAACCTAGGAGATTTTTCTAAAGTGTCTGGTTCTATCCAGGTAAAAGGCTAACAGCCTCCTCACATTTAGGGTATGGAAAGAAGTTTCTTATCTAGTCTGATGTGGCTTGGGAAAGTAACTGGAAGGTGAATGGCCTGATTAATATTAAATTCAGAAGAAACCTTAGATAAAAATGTTTTGGATGGAGTCAAAGTAACACCTTTTTGTAGAGAACTCTGTGAATAGAGGGTTTTCCATTAGAGCCCCCAGTTCCCTGACCCTAAGGGCAGACGTGATGGCCACAAAGAAGGCTGTCTTCACAGGTAAGAAGGAGCACATAGCTAGTAACTCGAAAGGATGTTTCATGAGGCAATTAACAACAAGATTCTCTAGTTGGTGGGCTGAGATTCACTAGACCTCTCAGAAATCTCACTACGATGGGATCGATGAAGATCGAAAAACCTTCTAATGGAGAGTGAAAAGCTGGAATTGCTGCTAAGTGAATCCTGATGGAACTCTCAAAAAACACCAGTCTTTTCAATTCTAACAAGTAATCCGAGACTCTGGAAAGGTAAGAATGGGCAGGTGAAAGCTTTCACCTATTACACCAAAGATATGTCCTTTTCTGGAGGTAATTATGGCTTATAGATTCCTTTCTACTATTCATTAATACCTGTTGCACTTCTAATGAACAGGAAATCTCTAACCTTGAGAACCACTGAGGGTTGCAAGGAGCCGCAGAACCTCCAGGTTGGGATGAAGTGTCTGACCAGCATTCTGAGACAACAGATGGGTAAGAGGTAAATTGGATGAGATAAGGATACCAAGCCTGTCTTAGCCAAGGTGGAACAATCAAAATGATTACCATGCAGTCTTGCTTGATCTTGTTGAGAACCTTTAGAAGCAATGGTGGTGGTGGATGAGCTTAAAAAGAGGGCTCCCTGTTCATGAAATGAGACTGGCATCTCCTAGAGATTAAGGCTCAAAACCTGCCTTGGAACAGAATTTGTTGCACTTCGTATTGGCTGCTGGGGCAAAAAGATGGACCTCTGGGAATCCCCAAGCTAAGAAGTCTTTTGAGGACTTAGCTCCCATTTGTAATTTATGGAGCAATGTCTGCAGAGGTCATTCACCATGGTGTTTTTATACCAGGCAGTTCAGCTGAGATGGACTATATTGTTGGCTGTGCACCAATTCCAGAGTTTTATCACTTTGGTGCAGAGAGAGGGGAATGTGTCTCTCCCTGACAATAGATATAATACATGCAGGCCATGCAGTCTGTCATTATCTTGATTGAATTGGCTCTTATTAGAAGGAGAAAATGAAAATGAATATTTCTGACCAATCTCAACTCCAGAAAGTTGATGCGGAAGAGCTGTTCTTGCAGTGACCATTTGCCCTGAATTGTGTGGGGTCCCAGCTGTGTCTCCTATCTCAAGAATAATGCATCTGATGTTATCATGACAGTAGAGTGATTTTGAATAAATGTGGCTCTGGCACGGATATTCACAGGGTCTTCCCATCAGTTGAGTGACTGCAGAATCCACTGGGTAACAAATACAAGCTTGTCCAGACTGTGCTTGTTCAGTCTGTAGACCATCCAAAGCCATCACTGGAGACACCGAAGATGTAACCTGGCATGCTGAAATACAAAATACAAGCTGCTATGTGCCCCAGCAGTTGAAGACAGTTTCTTACCGACAATTGGGGAATGCACTGAAGTCTTGAGATAAGATTCTTGAGGGTGAGAAATCTGTTGGAAGGGAGACAAGCCCTGCCTGCCAGCACACCCAGAAAACCTTCAATAAAATTTAGTCACTGAAGTGGTATCAAAATGGACTTCTTGAGATTGACCTGGAGGCCTAGGCTGCAGAATTGGGATTGTATCGCCTGTACCGCTGATAATACTTTCCGATAAGGTCTGCCCCGAACAACTAATTGCCTGGATAGGAGAAGATGATTATGTCTCCATGATGAAGGTGTACGGTTGACTGCTATAACCTTTGAGAATATCCTTGGGGCCAAAGAAAGGCCAAAAAGGAGCACCTGGTACTGGTAATGGTCATGGTTCAACAGGAATAGAAGAAACCTCTTGTAAGAAGGTTGGAAAGCCACATGAAAATGTATTCCTGTAGGCTGAAAGTCATAAACCAACCTCCAGAATCTAGAGAGGAAATTATGCCTGCAAGGGTCACAATCCTGAATTATTTTGTTTCACATATTTGTTCAGATGTCTGATATCTAGCATTGGTCTCCATCCTCTGTTCTTTTTGGAAACCAGAACGTACTTTGAGTAGAATCCCTTTCCCTTGTGCTACACAGGAACCGGTTTTATGGCTCCTAAACACAGAAGAGAGGCAATCTCTTGTGTCAGCAATTGATCATGAATAGGTAGCTGAAAAGGGATGGGGTGGCGGGCAAGGGATGGAATTGAAATGAAATGGTGTAACCAGATGCTATGGTTTCCAATATCTATTTGTCCGATGTTATGTTTTCTCATGCAGCTTAAAATTGAGAAAGATGGTATCCAAAAGGGGGATTGACCGTAGGACGGAATAGCAGTAAGACCTGTTGACTAATCGGTTGAGACTCCAGTCCAAGCCATCAAAACTGGTGCTTAGAAGATGTGAATGGTGGGACGAAGTAGCTGTGACAGAAGCTGGCTTCTTCGAATATCTAGGTCTCTTGGTTGGTAACTCGGGTGGCCTATGGAAGTTAGAAAAATGGTGTAGAAGAGACCTCTGAAATCTTGAGATGTGCTAAACCTTCTTTTGTTCACAGGTGTATAGATCCTGAGGGATTTGAGCATGGTCCTTAAGTCCCTCAGAGAGGGTGAAGAAAGTCAGTGGTAGACTTAGCAAATAGTTTGGTGGCTGTCAAAAGGAAAGTCTTCAACAGTACTCTGAACCTCAAACCCAACAGCTGCCACCAAGATTCTCATCGCATCACAGTCATGGTGGTTATGAACTGTGCTGCAGCATAAGCAGCATCTAAGGAGGCATGTCTATAATTATATTTTTGCCAAAAGTTGACCTTCCTGATGCTCAGCTGGAAAGTGTTTAATAAGAGAATTAAACTTGTAGTTTAAATAATCATATTTTGACATAAACACCTGGTTTGCAACTTGAAACTGTAATGTGGCCGAGGAGTAGGACTTGCAACCAAAGGGGTCAAGTCTCTTGTCTCTTTGGAGTAAAGGGCGGACTTAGAATTGTATTGCCTACCTTATCCACTGATGGCCTCCACTATCAAAAGGTATAGTGCAGAAAATAAAAACTCAGAATCCTTGAGTGGGACATAGTACCTTTTAGCTGCATATTTACAAGTAGGTGGTGTGGTAACTGGAGTCTGCCAGATAATCTTAGCAGGCTCTGGCAAAGTTCATTGACGGGTGGTCACCCACATATAGGCTGAGCTGTGCAAAAGTCCAGGAGTTTATGGTTAGAATTCTGGACCTCCTCCAATGGAATCTGAAGCATATTGGCAATATTATTGACATCAGCTGAAGTGAAGTTAGTGAAGGCACGATGGCTTCATCAGGCAATGACAACAAAATATTAATAGCAGCTATCACCTCTTTGTCAGCCCTTGCCTCCTGCTCCTCAAAAGTCTCCCCTCCCCTGTTTGGGAAGGGGGGAGAGGAGGTTGAGAAGAATGACATTGTGTATGCTCCCTTTGGGAGTGAGTAGATGCTGACTTAAACTGGAAGAGGTAAATTGCCAGAGGATCCCAACAAGGCCACTGAGGGAGGGTCCAAAGGGCATAGGGAAGGGCATATCAACCACTGGTCATACTCAGAGGGTAGGAGTTCAGGTCTTGTTTCTTTCATAGAATCGATACATGTGGGAAAATTATGCCTCCTAGAATATACAGGAGAACCCTTTACTAAAATTTGAGAGTCAGAGTCCTCCTCAACATATTCAGGGGGAGGTGAGAACAGGTGGGTGGGTGGATGTGGGGTGTGAGTGTGTATCAGAGAGAGAGAGAGAGAGAGAAAGAACTGTTTGCCCTGGATGACTGAAATTGGTGAGTAAAATGGCCTCAATGACAGATGTGGAGTTGGTGACTCAGCAGATTGTTGTACTCCAAGATGACCAGTTTGGTTAAGAAACAGAGATTCTGGCTTAGTGGAGACATGGAGGTTTTTAGCATATCTAAACTCTTTTGGCACCAGTGGTACATAGATAAGAATTAGATGATGAAGGCCACCTTCGGTATCGATGGCACAGAACCCATATGCCTGATTTGACCCAGATCTTTCTCATACTCCATTGGTACCGATGCAGAAGTACAGGATGATGGTATAGGTATCAAAGGGATAACAGTCTGATAACACAAATCTCTTTCAGGCAGAACCTCTAGTAGCCTGGGTTCAGCTATTCATTTCTTCATCTCCCTCATTTCTGCTCTGATCCATATATGCTCCAGAGCTAAATAACCAACTTTACCTTTAGGAGCATATCTGTGATTAGCTACAAAAGGAATGTGCATAGTATTAATAAAAAATGTTCAATGTGAGAAATCTGATAAATTTCCTTAGCTACTATTTGCTGTAAGGATTAATTTTTTTCAATATCCTTTGTGAATTTTAATTTTAATCCAAGTAATTAATAGCCAATGATGAGTTTAAAACTGTTTGTTTTAGAAAAAATATTATTGTGAGAGACTATTACAAATGAGATTATCCCGGTAGGAGAATATAATACAGAAATAGTATGCAATTGCAGTAAAGTGTTAAGAACATTACCTTCCTGATAGGCTCCATCTGCCATCACTAAATGAAGAATCTTGGCATACAGATGTTTATATTCATTTCCCAGAATATTCTGAACTATTGTTGAACAAATATCAATATTCTCATCTTCATCTTCATGTATTGCCTATAAGAGTAGACAATGCAAGTGGTCCAATTTAAAATTTGAAGTGATCATAAAGTGAAACAATTTACAAATTTATAAAAAGAATCATGGATTAACACAAAACATTTATCTTTTAGGTCACATAAAATGAAATTTTCTGTATTAGCATTAATATGCTGAACAGAATACAAAGTTAGAGCAATGTTCATAAATTCTAGTCACAACACTATGCATCAATAAGCAACTCAAGGTAGATTGATCTATTTTTCACTTAGAGCACTCCACAAACCTTTATTTTATCATAAACTTCAATGAATTTATCAAAGCCTATTTCCTGTTCCAGATTATATCTCAACTCTTCCAAATGGCTGAAGACACTGTCATATGCTTCACATTCACTGGCAATATCCCCATCACTGTTGTCTAGGAAAAGAAAATACAAAAGGAGAAAATTCGAAGTTTAATCCCACTTCAGTTCTGAATATATTGCTTCCATGCACCTGAACTTTTGAAGTCCACCCAGACCCTTGAATCAAATTGAAGGCAGTTCACCTCAAGAGTGTGCCACATGCTACCACACATTCACAACAGCACTGAGACACTAATTAAAAGCAGTAATAGACTCTTTTCTCCTTTGGATGGTCTGAAGAAACTGTGAGGAAAGAAGGTGAACGAATGTGGCTCTGTGGAACCAATACAGTCGAAGTGATGTTATGTAGCTGTCTTCTCCATACACCCCATGCTGTAGATTAACCAACAGTAACAATTCACAAAAATTCAATAAAACAGCTGTCCCAAAACAGACATCTGACTTAATCTGGGCACTGATACAGAATTGCTGGGTAAAGTTCCACGTAACCACTCCATAAATCTCAAAGATGGGTCTAAAACACCATTGTAGGTTGCAAAAGCCTACAAAACAAGTCCTTAATCTGGCATCTAATCTTCCATCTGCAGATAAAGATTTGATATAAAGAATTATCTGTTTGGATTCCTTCTGTGCTAACGTAAGTCCTTCTCGAACCACAATAAATCTAGGTGACTTCTGGGAAGACCCAGTCATAATTTAGGTAACTCCCAAATTCTCACTTCACATCCTGGGTAGCAAAATTAGCCCACATGAGCCCTAGTGTGTAGGGAAGAAAAACAGATGGACTCTGCACATAGTGAAGACAAGTCATGTTTTTAAACTTGTTAGCTGGTCATGGTCAATCCAAGTGGGAGCTTAGAGTGAACCACAACCAGATTAAAAATATATATTTTTTTAAAGTATCATTTGCCTGGCCTGCACAAGATAGAAATTATTATTTTAAATCCTGTTAGCCAACACATTTTAAAAACAATTTATTTTTTGAGTCGAGACATAACCCAAGAGAATTAGCGTACGAGAGATGAGCTATTAAGCATGAGTGAGCTTCCAAGCCTTATTAAGGAATTTCTTTACATTAAGGAAACCAAGATAATACCTCATCTACGGAAAACCACATGCTATCTGGTCAGAAACAGACAATTCAGAGACCTTTTAACGGGAGTAGGAAACAGGAACAGCAAATGTGTCTTCACTTTCTCTATTGCTCTGTACATGTTAAGCAACATTTTTATATACAGTAGAACCTCAGAGTTATGAACACCTCAGGAATGAAGGTTGTTCGTAACTCTGAACAAAATGTTATGGTTGTTTTCAAAAGTTTACAACTGAACACTGACTTAATACAGCTTTGAAACTTTACTATACAGAAGAAAAATGCTGCTTCCAATGAAACAAGCAGAGGATCAGTTTCCTTCTTTTTTTTTTAGTAGTTTATGTTTAACACAGTACTATACTTTATTTGCCTTTTTTTTTCCTTCTTGTCTCTGCTGCTGCCTGATTGCATACTTCCGGTTCCAAATGAGGTGTGTAGTTGACTAGTCAGTTCGTAACTCTGGTGTTTGTAACGCTGAGGTTCTACTCTAACAGATTAATAAAATGTACCCATCCACTGATTTAGGCAGAACATATACAATCTTTATCATTAAGGGATGATTTTCAAAGGTGGGTACCTAATTGTCCTAAGTCTCCCCCCTAAAACAACATGTACGCAACCCTTGGGTTCACTTCTGACAATAGCTCAGAGATCTGTGCAACATGATGGATGGACTTCGAGAGGAGATTTGTGTTTCCAATTTAATGTAGGGAGCACATACCTATTACTGCGCATTTTTAAAAATTGTCAATAGAAACCCGGAATGTCATAAAGCTTAAATTAACAAATTTTGCAAAGTAGGTAGCATTGTCTAGTAGTTAAAACCCAGAAATCTCAACTTCCAGTACCAAATTTTAATTGCCAGTTCTACCACTAACTCTTTCCATGACTGTGGTAAGTTACAGTCTTGACCAAATTACAAGCTTAATCCAGTATTGCCAACCTAAAGTGTTCAAAAATCATAAGCTTACCTTCAAATCATGACATCTTTAAAGCACTATATTATACGGGGTTTTTTTTTGCTCTCTGGATTTTGAGCATGTAGGAGTTGTGTTTTCAAGATTTTCTCTGTATCATAAAGGTCTAAAAAACTTTTTTTTTTTCATTAAAAATGAAACCTAAGATTCTCATGAAATAATGCCCCAGCTCCTGGAGTCACGTTAAGAAAACACCAATAGTGAGAGACTTGTGATAAAAATTCAAGTGTGTGCAACACTTTTTATTACCTGTAAAATGGGGATATCTATAGAGACAAGTGGGAACTAGGAGGAGAAAAGAAGTAGTAGTTTGTGAGGCTCATTTAATTTTTAGAAAAGCCTTTGAGATCTCTCATAAAAAGGTACTAATTATAAATCAAAGTATTATACTACAAGGACATCACATATCTTTGGTTTGTTGAGACGTACCCTACATCAATCCAAGAATTATAGAGATCTATACAACCTCATTTCTTGAATACTGTTATGCTTTTACACTTACATAAATTATACTATATTCCCACACAACGTAGAACTCATTAAAATTCATTAATTTATTCTGACCACTTTCTAAATGTTCATGTTTGCCTTTTTAAGCAGTACTAAAATATTCTGCTTTTAACCAGAATTTTAGAACCTAAAGTGTAAGATTAAGACTTTAGCACAGCATTTTATGCTGCTAACATCACATCCTAAAAGCAGCAAGGTAATAGGATTTTCTGAAACTACCTAAATCATATTTTCAATTCCACTGCATTAATAGATATTTCTAGTAATGGCAAGGTTGAAAAATCTCATGTCTCTTGTATGCTTTATCCTAATGCAGCTTCTCATTACTCCAGTCACACCAGCTAATATTTCCTGTTCATATTTATGTGACACAATCATACACAGTAGGTGGAAAAAGATTATGTGAGCAGTACATAGTCTTGGACCTTTCCTGAAGGTAACAGTTCTAGATAACAAAGTTACTTCATACTCATTTGTAATCATTGTCCACCAAATACTAAACATTTCCCTTCAACACTGGTTATATGCTATGACCCTAAATAAAATCTTATCGTAATATGATTTTTCCAAGTTTTGCAATAAAATTAAGCTTAATTCTGTATAATGTCTTTTATACAGACTGTATGCTAAAGCCCTTCATAGAATTGTTACTGAATTCTGTATTTATATCAGTAAGAGAAATTACAAGTAACAAAGTTTATACCTGACTGCCATTCTTCATTAAGTACACTTTCACTGCTGGGGTTGTTGTCATCCTCATCAACCTGTTCTGTACCATTTGTTATGCGTGCTGCAGTATCTGCCTTTAAGGTTGACAACTCCTCTTCACTGAATTCCTCACTAGGCTGCTCCCTAAGTAACTGTTCCATCGAGGCCTGAAGCGCCCGCAAGTCTGTATCTGCCTCACCAAATGTACTGGGAGAAGAGAAATATACACAAATAATATATAAAGGTAACACCATCCAGACAGTTCTCAAGTTCTCCTAAATCTGAACCAAAATGTTTAGGCATATTCTTGGAAAAAGGGTGATATTTCCCCTCCTTATCTTAGGTAGAAAGGTCATTCCAAACCTTATACTTGTGTGGCAGTTAGACGATTACACTGGCAAATGATACATTACCATTTTTTCTTAAAGAAAACATCTTGCATTCACTTAGACTGATGGGCTCTTTCTCTTTTACAGCTTGAATACAATGAATAGCAAGAGCCTGCCCTTCGAGCTGGGAGCAGTCATGGCAGAATTCCCATTCTGAGACATCTGAGAGGATCATCTTGCAGATGGAGCATTGCTAGGTCTTTGGGTTGCTCCATCTGGCCTGTCCCACACCACAATGAAGTGTGTGGGAGAAGAAGGGAAACAGCTCGGCATTAGTTCTGTCTCATGAATAAAGCCCTTAACTTTTGGTCCACTAAGCAAAAGGAGAGTGGGGGAAAAAAAAGGTTTCTCTCACTGCTGCCCCCAAATTAAGATAGCAATGGATAAAGCAGGATTGCTGTACCACTGCTCTGTTTGTTTGCTGGAGTGAGAAACTGGGGTAAGGATGAAAGGGAAGCAAACAAGTCCTAGAGCCCCGTGGACAAGTATGAATTGCCTCTGACATTTTCAGAAATATAAGGGCAAACCAGCGGTCTCTCACTGAGGAAGAAGCCAGGATATAGAGTTACACTTATCCTGAGTGAACCTTCACTATAATAGTACAACTTAATTTGCCATGGTGGTAAGGTACCTGATAAGCAGTGACAGTACCACATCTGTTTTCTATACCTATATAATATACTACAAAACACCCCAGTCTTGGAAGAATACATTTAGACTGTAAAATATATAGAAGTATTTAAATTTAGAAGCAGCTCATGACAGTAACTTACTGAACCGTTTTTAAATTGTAAGAGATTTAGCAGAATATTTTCCACAAGTCTTCAGCCTCCGGTGGTATTTTATACTTTGCCATAACTTATGTTCAAACTGAAGTTTCATTGAAACAATTTGATACATTTGGTTGTCTTGAAGACCGTGTTCACCACAGGTAAAAGGCCAGCACATTAGTTTCCCCAGCATGCACCCGCTGTCCCCAATTTGGAATGCAGCTTGGCTATGTTTATTCTATTACTATTTGTACCACCTAGGAGCCTTAGTCACAGGACCCCACTGTGCTAGGCACTGTACACACGGAACAAAAAGATGGCTCCGGTATAAGATGAGTGTGACGATCTGTACTTCGGGGGAACACCATACACCCCCATGTTCATCCTTGTAAAATGATTGTGTGGTATCCAATGCAAAATTTGTCATGTCGGGTGTCTTCAGACGGCTCATGATGCACTGAGCATTATTGTTACAGTAATGTTATAGGTTATAATTTCATGTATGTAGTTATGAGGCTGAAAATGTATCCTCATGGCTTAAAATAAGCCCAGGCAAAAACTCTCCAAGAGCTGAGAGGCAGTTCACACCTCATCAGGGCAGGTATGGGACAAACCCAGCCCAGCCTCACAGGAACAAAGGGTGCTGGCTTAGGCAGCAACAAAAGACTCTCGAGGGAGTCACCCCCCTTCCTTTGGTCAGTTTGGAAATGCGATGAGGTAAAGCTCACCAGACTCTGAAAGGGGGAGGGAGCAAAGCCAAGAGGGAAGAAAGGACATGACAAAAGGGGAGACATTTGCCATGCTCTCTTTCTCTTCCACCTACATCTACAGACACCACACCAAGTGCCTGAAGTGCTGATCAAAGGGGAGAGCTTGGCTGAAGAGCAACCAACATCTAAATTTGTAAGGGCATTGGGGGTGTTAAGATCAGCTTAGAATGTGTTTTGCTTTTATTTCATTTGACCAAATCTGACTTGTTATGCTTTGACTTATAATCACTTAAAATCTCTTTGCAGTTAATACATTTGTTTGTTTAGTCTACCTGAAACAGTGCATTTGGTTTGAAGCGTGATAGAGACTCCCCTTGGGATAACAAGCCTGGTGCATATTAATTTCTTTGTTAAACTGACAAACTCATATAAGCTTGCAGAGTCCAGCGGGCGTAACTGGACACTGCAAGACGGAGGTTCCTAGGGTTGTGTCTGGGACCGGAGGTACTGGCTAATATCATTCAGTTGCACAATCCAAGGAGCAGCTTACGTGCCAGAGGCTGAGCGTGAACATCCCGGGAATGGGGGTTCTCACAGCAGAGCAGGGTAAGGCTGGTTCCCAGAGTCAAGGACCGGAGTGACCTAGCAGGTCACTAGTCCAGATAACACCAGAGGGAAATGTCACAACAAGACACAACAGATAGAGAATACAAGGAAACAATATTGGTCAGCATGATAGGCAGTAGTCTCAGCACACCAGCATCCTAACTATTAAGTTTTTTGTAGGAGTCACAGCAAAGGAGGATTCTGAGGTAACTTTGCAGATGTTTACATCCAAGCATGGAAAGGCAGCATGGGAGAAAGCACAAAGGTGCTTATTTGAAAATTTAACAAGTGGGCCAATTGAAGGCAGGAGGCAACATCTTGATAGTGAATGAAAAATGATAGGCAGAGTGGAAATAGGCTGTGAAGGGCCTTGTAAGTGAAGACAAACTCTGTATAACTGATCAGGTGGTGAGAGACAAAAAGTTATCTTTAAAAATTGGAAGTCAAATCCTACTGAGAAAAATAGAAAGGAACAAACTCTGGCAAGTCAAATGTAAACATATAATTAGACAAGCCAAAAAAGAATTTGAAGAGCAACTAGCAAAAGATACAAATATTTTTGCTGTTAGTTTTTGTAAGTACATCAGAAGCAGGAAGACTGCCAAACAATAAGTGGAGCCATTAAAGGAGCACACAAGGAAGACAAGACCATTGTGGAGAAGCTAAATTAATTCTTTGCATCAGTCTTCACTGCAGAGGATGTGAAGGAGATTCCCATATCTGAGCCATTCTTTTTAAGTGACTAATCTGAGGAACTGTTGCAGATTGAGTTGTTGTTGGTGGTTTTGGAACAAATTGATAAAATTAAACAGAAATAAGTCACCAGGACCACATGGTATTCACCTAAGAGTTCTGAAGGAACTCAAATATGATACTGCAGAGCTACTTACTATGGTATGTAACCTACCACTTAACTCAGCCTCTATACCAGATGTAATGTCTATTTTTTAAGCAAGGCTCCCGATGTGACCCTGGAAATTACAGGCCAGTAAGCCTAACTTCAGTACCAGGCAAATTGGTTTAAACTATCAAATAAATTATCAGACAAATAGCTGAACATGATTGTTGGTACTCCTGGAGAAATTCTGTGCGACTATGATGCAGCAGAAAAATGCTCCCTCCCCACAAATTCCCTTTGCTTCCTTGCAGAAAATGATTCCTGTGAGGAAGCAAAGGGAAACTGCACCAGTACTCAACTCACTCCTCCTCAGCAGCTCAGACTAGGGTTGCCAGATGTCCAGTTTTCAACCGGAACACCCAGAAAAGGGACCCTTGCGGCTCCTGTCAGCATCGCTGACCGGGCCGATAAATGTCCGGTTGCAGTGAAGGCAGGCTCCCCACCTGGCTCCAAGCCACTCCTGGAAGAGGACATATCCCTCTGGCTCCTAGGTGCAGGGACAGCCAGGGAGGCTCCCACCGTGAGCACCGGCTCCGAAGCTCCCATTGGCTGGGAATGTGGCCAATGGGAGCTGCGTCTATGGCTGGGGGTGGCGCGCAGAGCCCCTTCGTCTCCCCTGCACTTAGGAGCAGAAGGGACATGTCGCCACTTCCAGGAACTGCCTGAGGTGAGCACCACCCGGAGCCCGAACCCCCTCCTGTGCCCCAATCCCCTGCCCGGCCCCCTCCTGCACCCAAGCTCCGTACCGGAGCCCACACCCCAACCCCTTGCCCCAGCCTGGAGCCCCATCCTGAACTCCAAATCCCTCGGCCCCAGGCCAGAGCCCCTTCCTGCACTCCAACCTCCTGCCCAATAAGAAGGAGTGAGTGAGGATGGAGTGAGTGATGGGCGGGGCCTCCGAGAGGGGGTCGGGTGGGCCTCGGGGAAGGGGCGTGGCTGGGGCGTTCAGTTTTCTGCAAACAGAAAGTTGGCATCCCTAGCACAGACGTGTCTGTTCGGGCCGCTGGGAAAGAGAGGTAAATCACTCGGGCGGGGAGGGGTCTGGTCCTGGTCATCCAGGGACATTAGCAGCTGCGGGGTGCGGGGGAGAGGGAGGAAGAGGAGGACAGAGATGGAGTTCACCCTCCCTCTCCTCCTTCCCTGCATGGAACAGACGGGGCTGGTCAGATCAAGCCCCAGAAACTTTCCCTGGCTGCAGAAAGCTCGGCACCGCCGGGGGAGGAGAGGGCGGAGGAAAAGGATGACAGTGGGAGGCTCAGCATTGGGATCGGGGGGGGGAAGGGGGGGAGGGGTGAACAGCTTCTTGTACAGTGACCCCTCCCCCACCTGCGCACCCAGAACCCCTCCCCCCAAACTGCCTCCACATCAGGAGCTCCCCCACACCCCTCTGCATCAGGAGCCCCCCACATTCAGAACCCCCCTACCAAGCTCCCCAAATCCTCACCCCATGAGCCTCAGCCCCTGCATCAGGAGCTCCCCATATCCAGGCCCCCCGACTGAGTCCCAACCAGCTATACCATGACCACCCTCAGACCCACTCCCCTAGCCCCACCCCCCCCGAGCCCTAACCACCTTCACCTGGACTCCCCAGCAGAGTCCTATTCCCCCTCCACCCAGACCCCCCACCGAGTTGCCTGCACCCAGACTGTGCCACACAGAACCCCGGTACTCTTGAGGGAATTCTGCACCAAAAAAATTGAACCAATTTAAAATTCTGCATATTTTAATTGTCAAAATAACAGAAACAACAATTAATCACACCATTTTCAATTTTTTTGGTAATTTATTTCAAAATACTTGTCAGCAAATAATTGAAAATGGTGTGATTACATTGTATTATTTTGACAAATTCAATATGCAGAATTTTAAAATATTGTGGCAGAATTTTAATTTTTTTGGCACAGAATTCCCTCAGGAGTATTGTTGGGGAACAGTCAACATGGATTTTGTAAAGGGAAATCATGCCTCATCAATCTGTTAGAATTCTTTGATGGTGTCAACAAACATGTGGACAAAGGTAATTTAGTGGCTACCGGGTACTTGGACTTTCTGAACGTCCTTGACAAGGTCCCTCACCAAAGGCTCTTAAGCAAAGTAAGCAGTCATAGGATAAGAAAGGAGGTCATCTTTGGATCAGTAATTGGTTACAAGACAGGAAACAGTAGGAATAAATGGTAAGTTTTCATAGAGGAGAGAGGTAAACAGTGGGGTTCCCCCCAAGGATCTGGACTGGGACTAGTGCTGTTCAGCATATTCAGAAATGATCTGGAAAAAGGGGTAAACAGGTGGCAAAATTTGCAGAGGATACTAAATTACTTAACTATCTTAAATCCACTCAAAAAAGATATGTTAGAATTGGGAAAGGTACAGAGAAGGGGTGGGGGAGAAAGATTAGGGGTATCGAACAGCTTCCATATAAGGAGAGATTAAAAAGAAACTGTTCAACTTGGAAAACAGATGACTAAGAGGGGGTCTATTATGGAGATGTATAAAGTCATGATATGATGTTGAGAAAGCGAATAAGGAAGTGTTATTTATCCCTTTACATAATACAAATATCAGAGTTCACTCAATGAAATTAATAGGTAGCAAGTTTAAAAGAAACAAAAGGAATTACTTCTTTACACAACACACAGTCAACCTGTGGAACTCGTTGCCAGGAGTTGTTGTAAAGGCCAAAAGTATTACTGGGTTAAAAAAAGAATTAGACAATTTCATGGAAGATAAGTCCATCAATGGCTATTAGCCAAGATGGTCAGGGACAACTCCATGTTGTGTTTGTCCCTAAGCTTCTGACTACCAGAAACCAGGACTGGCAACAGGATAGATTACTTGATTGCACTGTTCAATTCATTCCCTCTGAAGCATCTAGCATTGGGCTAGATGGACAATTAGTCTGATGCAGTATGGCTGTTCTTATGCAACAGAGAAGAGGGAGAGACAAGGTAGTGATGCAAAGAGAAGGCGTGACATAGTAGAAGCAATGGGGAAGGATAACAATCTTTTCAGCAGCATTCTGGATGCATATGCGTGGGGCAAGATTGCATTTGTCAAAACCACAGTAAACGATGTTGCAGTAATCAAAACACAAGATGATGAGAAACCTAGATGAGATTTTTGGCTCTGTAGGTGGAGAGGAAAGGCTGCATCTTAAATACATTGTGCAGAAAGAATCAACAAGATTTAGACATAACGTGAGCGGACCTACAAAGAGATCCATGTCAAAGATGACACCTAGGTTATCGACCTGAGTGATAGACGGGCGGCTAGTGTTGTCCACGGTGATCAAGAAAGGAAGTTGCAGATAGAATTGTAGTGGGAGGGTTGGGAGGAGAAGAGATTAAAAACTCTGTTTCAGCCATGTTCTGTTTGAGCTGACAACTAGATATCCACTAGGAGAGGACAAAGAGACAGGCAAGGATTATAGTTTGGACAGAAGGCGACAGGTCTGGAATAGAGAGGTAGATCCATGAATCTTCCACATAGAAATGGTAGTTGAATTTTGTGTTTGCAGATAAGATTACCCAGAGATAAGGTGTAGAGGGAGAAGAGGAGATAACCAAGGACAGAGCTTTTATAGGTGATCCTTCAAAGAACACGCTAAAGGAGCAATTAGAGAGATAGGAGAAGAACAAGGAGAGGACAGAGCCATGGAAATCAATGGAAGACAAGATTTCAAGAAGAACATGGTCAGTTATGTCAAAGGTGGTTGCCAGGTCAAAGAGAACAAGGATAGAGTACTGGGTTCTGAACTTCAAGTAGAAAGGAATAATTAGTGTCAACAAGAGTTTGGTTTTACTGACATGCAAGGGGCCTGAAGAGCATCTAGGAATGAACTAGAGGAGATGAACTCCAGACAACAGTTGCTGACAGTGCATTCAATGAGCTTAGAGATGAAAGGAAAAAAGATGGAGTGGTAAGAAGTGTTAAGGGTAGGGTTTTGGTTTTTGTTTAAGATGGGAGAGACTAAAACATACCTCTGTTTTTTATGCAGTGTTGTTGTAGCCATGTTAGTCCCAGGATATTAGGGATACAAGGTGTGTGAGGTTATATCTTTTATTGGACTAATTTCTGACACGGTTTTGAGCTACCCAGAGCTCTTCCTCATGTCTGGGTAAGGTATTTAGCTGAGACACTCTGGGTAAAAGGTCGAACAGATAGTTTAGAATAAGTCGTTAGCACAAATTCTAAGGGACCATTCAAGGACCACTTCACCTAACTACTTATGCTAAACTACCTGTTCCACCTGGTACTTAGGCGTGACACTCTAAGTACCTTTTCCAGACATGAGGAAGAGCTCTGTGTAGCTTGAAACTTTCTCTCTTTCACAAACAGAAGTTGGTCCAATAAAAGAGATAAAATAGAAGTATGGGTGGATGAGGTTAATAGTTATTTTCTAGTATATTTCAGTTAAATGAAGAGGTCTTTGTATTTTTTGCAGTAGTTGATAAATATTTTATGCTTACATGTCTTCAGAATCAGAATGCCCTTCTTTGACATGCTCATCGTCCATATCCTCTATTTCAAGGTTGTCTTGATGTTGTACATCTGCTACAATGGGAACATCAACTAGTGTTCTGTACAACTTGGAAAGATCTGGGAGTGAACATGTTCTTAACATCTGAAAAGGTCATAAAAAACTTCAGTTTAGGATATTCAACAACAAACAAGAAACAGAACTGGAAATTAAAGATCAAATCAAAGTAGGAATACCTGTTTTGATGCCCTATTTAAAATATTATATAAAAAAAACCCTCTACACAGTTAGTAAACTAAGTATGGAACATATGAGACTGCATGTTTTGCCTTTCCACTAAAATGGGAAAATGTTCCTTAAGTGTTGAGAAGGTCTGAGAAACTCAGAACACATGTAAACTGATTTATATAAAAAGAATATTAGAGACTGTTCATTCTCTCGCTAATTATCTTTTTAAAAAATAAGAACTTTACTGAGGTAAAAAACTAATTACATTGGACAAATGATATATATATATGTCTGTTACAGCTTTCCCCCTATTCCATTTTGTTTCTTACAGCTGTCCCCTTACTCCATTTTGTTTTTGTTCTCCTCCTGTGGCCGCCCCTCCCTGGCTGTTAAGTTGTTTACCAGGGCCACTGCCCTTCTCAAAGGGAGGGCCACTTGTGCTGCGTGCTAAGTGGGACCACTGCCCTGTTCAAAGGGTTGGTCCTGTTATCACCTTGTTAAACTTGGGCTCGGTGTAGGGTAGGCAATGTCCAGAGCTGCAAGACCTAATGTTTTTTTGAGATCCTGGGCATGAGTCATAGGCCTCATGTGCTTTTGAGTCCTGAGGTGTGAACTCACGCCTATGGTCCAGGACTCTGCCCAGGCACGTCTCTATGCTCACCTGCAGTTTTTCCCTGTATCTCCTCCCCTGTGACAGAAGGAGCCTATCAGGGACAGG